GGTGTAAAGAACTTAATGAAACCATCATAAAGTGGTATTTTCGTCACAGGTTTTACCTTATGGTGTAAAGAACTTAATGAAACCATCATAAAGTGGTATTTTCGTCACAGGTTTTACCTTATGGTGTAAAGAACTTAATGAAACCATCATAAAGTGGTATTTTCGTCACAGGTTTTACCTTATGGTGTAAAGAACTTAATGAAACCATCATAAAGTGGTATTTTCGTCACAGGTTTTACCTTATGGTGTAAAGAACTTAATGAAACCATCATAAAGTGGTATTTTCGTCACAGGTATTACTCTATGATTTAAGAACCTAATAAAACCATCATAAAGTGGCATTTTTAGTTAACGTTTGAATTTCGCGCAAAGCTACACGAGGGCTATCTGCGCTATCCATCCCTAATTCAGCAGTGAAAGACTAGAGTGGAGGCAGCTAGTCATCACCACCCACCGCCAACTCTTGCGCTACTCTTTTACCAACTAATAGTGGGATTGACCGTCACATTATAACGCCTATACGGCTGAAAGGGCGAGCATGTTTGGTGGGACGGGAATTCGAACCCGCGACTCTCTGACTGCGATTCAAGCGCCCTAACCACCTGCCGGGCCTGTATTTTCGTCATAGGCATTATCTTACGATTTCAGAACCAAATAAAGCCATCTTAAAGTAGTGTTTTCGTGATACATAAGATGCAAAATTTGATGAACCACAAAATAATTAGCCAGATAATCTAACCACTTTAGGAAAGTGGCGCTTTCTTCTGTATAACACCTCGTTTTGTTTGAGGAATCCAAGTTTTAATTGTTTTCCTTACCTGTGGAACAAAACAAATTGTTATACATTACAGAATGAAATACTTTTCAAGATCTATTTCCTCTCTTCTCTGCCCACCCCACATCCCCTCCAGTGGCTCAACAGTAAATCTGTAGATTTACTACATTAAAATTTGAGTTGCGGTAAATCTTGTGGGAAGGGTACAGACAGTCTATTGAAAAAGGATGGCCTACCTTCTGAAATCGCTCAGGTTATCCTTCCAGCGCATGTGATAAAATAGTATATCTTGTAATACTTAACAAATTAACTTTACAGATGGCACTCAAATTAGCTCTCGTCAGCTCAGATAGATCGACGTAGTAAGAAATGCTATCCAATGAAGTTTTAAGTAACTAAGAGCTAATGTAATATTGTTCACACACCCATCCTTCGTTTTAAAATGGCGTTTGAGAATAACCTGCTTTCACACGGTAGAAAGTTGATACACTATTAAGTTTGTTATTTCTTGGATGTTGAACTTTATAGAAACCTTGGAAAGTATAATAAACATATAAGGAATTCATTGTGCTTACCTGCTTGTTTATCATCCACCAGTATTCATTGGTTACATCCATCTGATTTTAAGGGATTCCGAAATGTCCTCGTGGGTCATTTTGGAGGTTCTGTTGCTATAAGAGATTTGCAAAATCATTTTTTCCATAACAAGGCCTGATGGGAATTTACTCCTAAAACTCCTACTTTTCAATCAATAAAAGTTGCTAACCAGTAGAACGTGGAGCTAGTAGATAATACTTGATGATATTCAGCCAAATTTTAATCGTTCTGGTAAGATGTCGAAGTTAAAGTCCACATTCACAACTTCTTGTCATTATTGTGGAGGTCAAGGGCAATGTTTTTTTGAAGATTTACCGAGATTATGTTTTAAAACTTCATTGGTGTACACATAAAAATTCAGTTTTTAAAGACTCATCTTTCTATGTATCCAGACAAATATATTAAAATCGGCAGGCTGGGATGAAGTGTCCTAGCACACCTGGAAACGCGACATTTATTACCAGAAATGTTTGTTATTGCCAACCTGATCAGTACACCAGACAATGTACACATGTTCATATTTTAAATAAAATACTATCTTCAGAGTGTTTACCCAACTTTTTCTACTTTTTTTATTTTGCCTGGACTTGATTATCGCTTATTCTATCAGCCAAATATCCTACTCCTGGACTGCCTCCAGCATATCTTGCCAATAATTCCACTCCTATGCTGCCTCCAGAAAATCTTGCTGAGGATTCCACTCCTGGACTACCTCCAGAAACTTTTGTCGAGGATTCCACTCCTGCACTACCTCTAGAAAATCTTGCCAAGGATCCCACTTCTGGACTGCCTCTAGAAAAACTTGCCCAGGATCCCACTTCTGGGCTGCCTCTAGAAAATCTTTACGAGGATCCCACTCCTGGATTGTTCTAGAACGTTTTGCTAAGGATCCCACTTCTGAGCTGCCTCTAGAAAAACCTTATCAAGAATCCCACTCCTGGATTGCCTTTAGAAAATATTTCTGAGGATCCCGTTCCTGAACTGCCTCTAGTAGATCTTGCAGAGGATCCCATTCCTGAACTGCATTCAGAAAGTTCTTCTAAAAAAAGAGAACTCAGAAACCCAATGTTGTGGAGCATAACTGTTAATTATCCCTGAAATCTATCTCACTTGTTTCTACGTTTTGTTAACAGCATTGGATCAATATTACAACAAGCTCCTCTTCAATATTTTTAGTCACAAAAAGACATAATAAAACTTAAGGTTTGTTGCTCGTCAAACAGATTGGTTTTCAACCATTGCTATAGAAGATACTGGGATTACACGCATTAAAGACGAAGTTGATGCTTCAAATAAAAATCGGAGAATTCGTTGACTGCAGAAAAACTTTGATGGTGTTTTAGTGCTCGAAAAAAAATAGTATGATGAAATTGAAACAAGAAGGAAACACTGAAGACAAACGTTCTTTTTACCAGAGTGGAAATGTTCGAAAATATAAAATAACAATGAATATCTTAGTTATTTTCTGTAGTCAATAACGGACACAGACGTCCAGACTGAAAAGCTCATACTTCTCAAGTTGGGATTCAAACCTGAAATTGGATTTTTTATTATTGCTGGCTATATATATATATATTCTAAGTGTGTTATAAACTTTTTTTTATATAAATGGCAAACAAAAAGTTGCAGAAGGTTTTTTCCAACTGATCACCACTCAAAGTAATGCTACCTACAACTAATAATTGTGTGTTAATTACAGCCAAATACGACCATTCTTTTTTTGTTTTGTTTTTTTGTCTAAAAGGGCAACATCTGCTTCTCATCTGTTATTAGCTAGTTCACTGTTTGTTTTATTAATATTATTGTTGCTACTTTATAACTTTTCAACTGGATATCAGAAAAAATGTCTGTACATAATTCCTGGATTCCAAATCAATGGCGGCTACTGAGATTCTTCATCATCCTCACTGGTTCCGCTTTGGAAGGAACAGCACTTAGTTAGTTGGGATCTTGGCCACTAGAGTTCTACCGCGACTCCTGGTGAAGCTTTTGCTAAGCTAAAAGCTCGGCTGGTTCCTTTCACAGGCTAGTTTGTCTAGCATCTCCAAGTGTATACTAATCATTCGTTAAGTTTGGACAATGATAAAATGGCAAGCTGCTCCTGCTGCTTTTCCAACCCATTCACCATTTCTTCTATGCTCTGCAAGGTGTTGGAGACGTTAGCCGAAAGAACAGGGCTTACCGAACTAGAAGAACCTGCTACTTCAGAAGTTGGAGACAATGATAAGCCCTTGAGCAGCGGGACGGGAACAGGGCAATGTAGAGTAGAGGACGGAAGTGTGGAACTGATGGTTATTGGTAAAGAATACGGGAGGAACCGATGCTGCCCGTGTCTACACCCAGGGTCTAGAAGTCTCGAGTTATTATGGGCCATAAAGGGGTAGAGACGTGTAGACAGATTTGTAGGCATCGTAGACGTTGAAGGGGCAGACTGAGGATAACAGAATTGGGGGTAGAAAGCCGGTGGGTAGAAATAAGGAAGCCAATGTTGGTGAGATACATCCCCCCCAAAAGGATTATGTATCCCAAATTGATGTAAACCATGGTCGTGATTCTCTGATCGCTCAACACTCTGAAATCCATGACCTCTAGATATGGAGGATTCGGAGAGCGGAAGTTCAAGGGTCATTGTTGAAGCCACTTGATCTTTTTTACAGGAATTCCCAGCTTCGTTCCGTTCTTCTGCACCTCTCGTCTTCCTATCAGCATCGTCAACACCTTCAGTTTTTTCTAGAACCAGCTTGTGATCTTCCGGAACTGTAAAAATAATCAATAAAGGTATCTCCATTAGGTACAAACTCCGGAACTGTAAAAGTAATCAATAAAGGTACCTCCATTAGGTACAAACGACACATCGTTCAGCTGTAAACAATGTTACTCCTACTACACTTCATACAAGAACTGGTAACACAAGCATTGATCCTGTTGCGTTAATAAGGAACATAAAACTGACTGATACATAAAAAACGGTTTCTCCTAGTGAAAAGATCAAACGTATAAAATACCGTATTTTTCGGTATATAAGACGCACTTTTTTACCCCAAAATTTGATGTCAAAATCTGCTTGCGTCCT